GATTGGCCTGAAGGTCAGTTCCTCCCAGCGATACCAACAGCAATCAAGACTTAACTACCACAAGGCGGAACACACAGTCCACAAAGGGGTACACCAAGAGTGTCCACCTCAGGTAACTGGGAGACTGACCCACTGAACCATATAGGACACCTTAGCACACAAAGCCACCCTACCAACTCAGGGAAGCTGCAAAAATAATGGAGACAAGGAAACAGATTACAAACGAAAGAAGTGGAGGACAACAAGCAACTGGATATAGAGTTTAAAACCACGCTTATAAGTTTTTTTTAAGAATTTCTTAGAAGAGGCCAATAAAATAAACGAGACTTATGAGGATATGAAAAGGGATCAACTAGAAATAAAAAGGGATTAACTAGAAATAAAGAATACAGTGGCCCAAACCGGTTTGGCTCAGTGGATAGAGCATCGGCCTGTGGACTGAAAGGTCCCGGGTTCAATTCCGGTCAGGGGCATGTACATTGCTTGCGGGCGCATCCCCGGTAGGGGGTGTGAAGGAGGCAGCTGATCGATGATTCTCATTGATGTTTCTATCGGGTCTAGTAATAATTGATGTCGTTTTTAAACATTCGTTTAAAATCTTGCTTGGCGTTGACTTGTATTGACATAACCTTCAAACACGTGGTATCTACAGAACGTGTGAAGTGCAATTAACAAGTTTTGCTTGAAAAAGTTTGTGTTTGGTTTGGTTTTTGTTGCAAAACTAGGGCTAAGAAGATGGCAGATGAAGAGCATATTCGGCACTGCATGCTTTACGAGTTCCAATTAGGAAGAAAAGAAGTGAGGCTGCAAAAAACATCTGTAGTGCTCTTGGTCAAGATGCAGTTAGCGCCAGAAAATGCCAGCGTTGGTTTGAGAAATTTCGCGAGGGAAATTTTTCGTTAGATGACAAGAGTGGTCGAGGCCGTGTGTCCAATTTTGATCAAGAAGCTCTTCAAGCTCTTTTGGTGCAAAATCCTCAAATTACCCAACAAGAGCTTGCGACAACTTTAAATTGTTCACAAAAAACAATTTCCAATCAATTGCGTGCACTTGGCAAAGTCCAAAAGTTTGGAAAATGGGTTCCTCATGAGTTGACCGACAACAACCGTAATCAAAGAGTCACAATTTGCAGTTCGCTCCTCTCTCGTCAAAACCGTTTGCCGTTTTTAGAGCAAATTGTTACCGGAGATGAAGAATGGGTGCTGTATGTTAATTTGAAAAGGCGGCCTCAATGGTTGGACAAAAATGAGGCTCCGCAGCCCACGCCAAAACCTGACTTGCATGCGAAAAAAGTGATGTTGTGTGTTTGGTGGAATTTTAAAGGAATTCTTCATTATGAACTTTTACCATCTACCCAAACCATTACAAGTGCAGTGTATAGTGCCCAATTGGAAAGGTTAGCCCAAGCTTTAAGAGAAAAAGAACCCGCGCTGATTAATCGGAAGGGCGTAATTCTTCACCACGATAACGCACGACCGCATACTGCAAGAATCGCTGCTGAAAAACTGCGCCAGTTGGAATGGGAAGTTCTCCCTCAACCTGCATATTCTCCTGATATTGCCCCTTCCGATTACCATTTGTTTCGTTCTTTGCAAAACTTTCTTCTTGGAAAAAAATTTAATAATGAAGAATGCCTCAAAAATGCATTGACCGAATTTTTTGCATCAAAATCACAAGAATTTTACAACAGAGGGATTAAAATGCTTCCTGAGTGTTGGGCACAAGTAGTAGAAAACAACGGCAACTATATTGTTGATTAAATTTTGTTGTATTGTTTAAATAAATTCGATTTAAAAAGTATTAGAAAACGACATTAATTATTACTAGATATAATAACTCTCTATCCCTCTCTTCCTTTCTGTAAAAATTCAATAAAATAAAAATAAAAAAATAAAAAAATACAGTGTCTGAAATAAAAAATATTATACAGAGTCCTAAAAACAGAATGGAAGATCACAAGAATCAAGTCAAAGATTTGGGGGGGAGAGGGGAGGCCAATGATAAAATATGTACACAGATAATAATTTTTTTTAAATCAATAAAATAAATAAATTTATTCAGGATCTACTTAGGGTTCATTCATTGCATTCAGTTGTTATGTATCACCAGCTTAAGTATTTCAACAACGTAGTTACATCCCTTGTAAATTGGTCATTATTTAAATGAAAGTTTTAAATTACTTGCAAACTAAAAAAAAAAAAAAAAAGTCAAAGATTTGGAACATAAAGACCCAGAAGACACTCCTCCACAAAAGCAAGAAGACAAGAGAATCCAGAAAGTTGAAAATAATGTAAGAAACCTCTAGGACAACTTCAAGCGAACCAACATCAGAATTATGGGGGTCCCAGAAGAAGAGAGAGAGCAAGATACCGAAAACATTTTGGAAGAAATAGTGACAGGAAACTTCCCCCACCTGGTGAAAGAATTATACTTACAAGTCCAGGAAGTGCACAGAACCGCAAACAAAAGGAATCCAAAGACCACACCAAGACACATCATAATTAAAATTCCAAGAGCAAAAGACAAAGAGAATATTAAAAGCAGCAAGAGAAAAGCAGGTAGTTACCTATAAAGGAGCACCCATAGGATTGTCAGCTGATTTCTCAACAGAAATCATGCAGGCCAGACAGGAATGGCAAGAAATATTCAAGGTGATGAATAACAAGAACCTACAGCCAAAAATACTCTACCCAGCAAAGCTATCACTCAGAATCGAAGGCCAGATAAAGAGCTTCACAAATAAAAAAAAAGCTAAAGGAGTTCATAACCGCCAAATCAGAATTAAATGAATTGCTGAAGGGGGTTCTTTAGGAAGAGGAAGAAAATAAAGATAAAAATTAAGAACAACAAATACATAACTATCAACAAGTGAATCTAAAAACCAAGGGAATTAAAAAATCTGATGAACAATATTAACTGGTGAATATAACAGAATCAGAGGTATGGAAGGGGAGTGGACTGACGATTCTTGGGGAAAAGGGGAGTGGGGGGTGCGGGAAGAGACTGAACATAAAATGTGCACCTATGGATGAGGACAATGTGGGGTGGGGAAAGGGCAGAGGGTGGGGTGGGAACCTGGAGGATTGGAGCAAAGGAGGGGGGAAAAAGTGAGGAACATTTGTAATATGAACAATAAAGATTTATTTAAAATTAAAAAAAAAAAAAAAAAAGAACGGTTCAGACAGCAGTGCCGCCTCGGCCTGCTCAGAGGCCGAGTGCATGAAAGGTCCCGTGGTGTCTGTGAGCTCAGGGCACCTCTCACCGAGATGTGAAGTCCCAGCACCAGCCTAATCCTGTGAAGCAAGTTTTCTTCCTTTCGTATGTCGGCAGATTAACTTGTTTTTCTAGCTTGAAGTTTGATTTTTAAAACTATGTAAAACACACCCAGGATTCCAAAGCCAGAAGTGCACAAGCAGGGCACCCACTGAGGCTGCCTCCATCTGTGTCTTCCGTCCTCTCCTCCGCGCTGGGTAGCCCTGCTTTCACTTAGCCGCTGTGGTGTTTGGATGCAAGAACACGTGCTTATTGTGCCTCCGGGAGACAGCGGAGCTTCGCACTTCCCTCCCTGCACCTGCTCTCTCGCATGCTCTCATGTCCGGCCACCCCTTCGCAGACGCAGTGACCTCCGTGCGCTGCACAGCTCCCTGGCGTCCTCTGTATCACTCCCTAGCTTATTGGCCAGCGGGGCTGCGGCGTCTCATTGCCCGATGCCGGCACTCCCACCCGGTCAGTAGCCATCAGGGACGTGCACATGGACCGCAGTGACATCCACCTCACACCCAGGCCGGCTACCCCGGCAGACAGGCCATGGCAGCTGTTCCCGAGGAGGGGGATGGAGACGGGCAGCCACTCTGGAAGAGTCTGTTCCCTGCGGAGCTTCCTAAAAACCCGGCGATGCTGCTGCTACCAGCTACATCACCAGGGGAAGGAAGCGCGCATGTCGGCTGGGGACCACGTTCCGGGTGTTCACCAACACCGTCACACCCAGGCGGTGGAAACAGCTCAGTGCCTGTCGCCAGGCGAGTGGGCAAGTGAATGTGGTGCAGCCACAGCACCAGGGGCATGTGGTTCAGCCGTCACGGGACGGAGCACTCCGCCCGCCACCTCCCGAGGACTCGGATGCTGTGCTCAGTGGCAGGGACACAGGAGGCCACGCGCTGTGGTTCCGATGGCGTGAACCCTCCAGGTCCTGCACGTCCTGAAGACGGACTGGAGGGGGAGAGATGGCTGCTGTGGGTGTGGATGGAAGGTTCTAAAGCTAGAGAGAGGTGACGGCGACACGCTTGGTGAACATACTAAGTCCCCTGGATTAAAAGGGTGCCTTTTCTGGTATGAGGATTACAGTCTCAATAAAATTCATGAAAACATGCGTTGTGCTGTCTCCCGGCACCGCTCCGTGTGCCTGGCTCCTGTCCCTGTCCCCTCCCACAGTTGGTGTCATAGCAGCATCTTTATGGTCCGCCTGCATTTCTTTTTTTCTTTTTTTTCCCCTCAGGGTCATTTCTGTTCATGTATTTCATCCATTTTTCTTTTGGATTGTTGAAGTTCTTTATGTATTAAAATAGTAAACCTTTGCCTATGATAGCTTACGAATCATTTTTCCAGTTTCCATTTGCCCTCTTAAAAAACCCAGTCAGACCTGTTCCTGCGGCTTCTGGCTTTTGAATCCAGTTCGAGAAGCTTTTCCTGCTCCGAACCTAGGAAAGGCCGCGCTCGCTCGGCTAGTGAACCGCCGTGACCTCAGGCCCCGCTGGCGTCTGTCCTGGGGAAGGCGATCTGCTCTCCTGTTTGTGGGCTCCCAGACACCCCGCCTTTCTGAGGAGGGGGAAGGAAGGAAGGGTTTCACTCTGCTCAGGTGCCTGTTAACTGTTCCTGTGCTCACTGCAGACAGCATAGCGACGAGCAGGGAAAGAAAACGGACAGACAGATCCCCATGGCCCCGGCGCTCCGGCTGCTGCGGGTGTAACTCCGTGTGTAACTCCATGCTCTCCTCTCTGCAGGTCAACGAGCTGGACGCCATCCCCCTGATCCTGGACAGCTGCCGCCCGGACGACAGCAACCCCTGTATCCTTGCGTGGGAGCTGCGCCTCGGTGTGCCCGCCCGCCCTGCCGCTCCTTGGCTGAGGAGCTGCCTGCTCTCCCGCTGGCTTTTCCTGAGAAGGAAGCCCTTCTCGGCGGCTGGCCTGGCCCCGGGCAGCCGGTGCAGGTGGCGGCCGGGAGTCACAGGGAGATGCCGCGGTGGCACCGAGCTCTCGTTTTGGCAAGTCCTGTCCTGCGGCCCTCTGTGACCGCGCTGCGGCCTGGCTCTTGTCCTCACCTCTAGTCCAGGTGTGTTCCGGGGTGTCTGGCACTCGTGTCCCCAAGGAGCGGTGCTATAGGAAGCAGGTCTGGTGCAGTGAGGAACCCCAGACCCGTGCCGCCGTTTCGGTTGGAGAGATAAACCAATTTCTGGAGCTTTCCTGGTGAGAGCCACTCGCAGCCCCGTCCTGGCCCTTCTCCGCACGGCCTGGCACTGACAGCGGGGGGAGGGCAGACAGGCTGCTGTGGGGACTGGAGAGTGGAACCCCAGGGCACAGTGAGGGGCTGTCCGAGGATGGAGGAGATGGGGGGAGGGCATTTTAAATTTAAAGTAAAACCCCTCACTGGTTTCTGTCAAGAACAGAAAAGGACCCCTAGCTGGTTTGGCTCAGTGGATACAGCATGGGCCTGTGGATTAAAGGGTCCCGGGTTCAATTTCGTTCAAGGGCACATGCCCAGGTTGTGGACTCCATCCCCAGTAGGGGGTATGCAGGAGGCAGCTGATCCATGATTCTCTCTCATCATGGATTCTCTCCCTCTCCTTCCCTCTCTGACATCAGTAAAAAAATATTTAAAAAAAGAAGAACCGGAAAGGAGCTGATGGCATCACATGTTTCAAAGTAAGTGGACGAAAAATGCTTGCTTGTGCTAAAGAACTGTCGTTTGTCTGATTAGCCATCGCTCCGCAGGGAGACAGGCCCAGAGCCTCTCGCTCGGGGCAGCAGCTGGCGCCGTCGAGCGCCGAGCAGGGAGTGGGGCTCAGGCCGCGCTCGCTGCAGAGCCCCGCTCAGCTCGCTCCAGGCCGGGAGGAGAGGGCCGCTTGCTGCCAGGGAGCAGGGAACGAGCGGGCGCAGGGAAGCGGCTTCCGACAGAGAAGCACTTCGCCAGGCTTTCTCCCCTGGCCCAGACCGCCCTTCTCGTGAGCAGCTTCGTCTCATGGCCTGGAGCTTTCAGCCAAGACCCGCCGGCGGGAGGCTGTTGCCCACAGCACGCCAGCTCCCGGGCTCCTGCACAGGTCTCCGCCCGGTTGCCCAGATCCTCCCTCCCTCCCTCCCCCCTCAGCTCCTTCAGGAACCTCAGAGGGCCCTGCTGAGCATTTGCACACTTGCCCTCCTTACTCCGTCTCACCTGCCCTTCGCAGATGAGCACTGCACTGCGAGTCCCGGCCACTTGCCCTGGGTCAGGCCGGGTTTGAGCTAGGTGTGTGCCATGTGCCTGCTTCCTAGCCACTGGCCCACGGCCTCCTCACCAGCCCCTGGAGGCAGGCCCAGGCAGAGGCCGCAGGAGCTACTCCCGAGCGCTTCTGGGCCGAGGAGTGGCGGAACCTGCAAGGGCTGTGCCGTCCTCCGGGCAGGAAGTGACCGCGGCTGGAGCCCTGGGGACCTGGCGATGGGGAGACGGTGCTCTGAGCATTCTCGTGGCTTTCATAGCATCACCTGAACGCAACCTCCAGACAGGCTTCGCTACTGAGCGTCAGGCGTGTACCCAGCTCCCCGCTACCATTAGGCCTGTGTCTTACCAATGTCCCAAGCTCACACATCCAGTGAGACTTCCTGCCTTCGCCCAGCCACCTGTCCTGGCCAGTGGGGACACCTCCATCGTCCAGGGGCCACGGCCGGAAGCCTGGGAGCCCTCGCCGCGCTGTTTCTGCCGGTAAAAGGAGGAATGGACACGGCATAGCGGCATGGTGACGTGTGCATGTGTGTGTTTTGCCAAAAGAAGTTTCTCCCAAGAGTTGTTTCTGTTGTCACTTCATTAAGCGCGGCTTGGCAGTGATACTTTTTCAGATTTGTTTGGTTTAACCTCTTCAGATAATTAACAACAGGTAAGCTCTTAGTGAATTTTAATTTCAATCGTTTATGTTAAAAAGCAATAGATGTTTGGGTGTGCTTAGACTCGGAGCAGTTCTGGTGTTGATACCAGTTAATAACAGTACCTCCCTTCTCGGGTCATCCGGGTCATCGGCCATCCCATCAGCCTCCTCCCTGGGAGGGGAGGGCTTGTGCGGCCTCTGGCCACCCCACGGGACTGACTGGTCACCCGCGGGGACCGAGGACTCCAGGCTGCATGTCAGAGAGGCTGTCCCGCTGGCGGCCGGCTGGGAGGCACTGACCCCCGCCGGGGCAGTTCGAGGCTGAGGGGTTCCCAGGGCCGGAAGTCATCGTCCCCAGGGTGGCCGGCGGGTGAGAGCCGGGGCTGCTGCTTCGCCAGCGGCCAGCTGTTCGCTCCCGCACTGTGGGCCCCGGTAATGACACAGGCAGATGCCATCGGAAAGTTCCAGCTCCGGCCGCGGAGGCCGTCCTATTGGTCAGGTTCGTGGCGAGGGGACTTTTGTTGTTGTTTCCAAATAGAAACAGCTGAGCTTTATTTGAAGTGTTTTCCTTTCCTTCTTTTTTTGATCTGTTTTGATCAGCATCCTTGATGTGGCTTTTTTTATGTTGTTTTTATTGGAGGGGGAGGGGACAGGGACAGAAGGAGAGTCCAAACAGGGTTTTGTTTTGTTTTCTGTTATTTTCTTTCTTCTTTTTCCTTCCTTCCTTTTTTTCTTTACCTTTTTGTTGTTGTTGTTGTTTGTATTGCAGACAGCAATGTAACGGTTTGTGGGAATAACAAGCAGACTCTCTTTCTCCAGAGCCAGATAGCATGGTGTCCACAGCATCGTCTCAGGAGCAGACGGACCTGGTTCTGCCACTTCTCACAGTCTGAGCACCTCGCTGAGCCCTCTGAGTCTAGCCTCTGTCCCACAGGGTGTGGTGGGGGTTAGTAAATTGCCCAGCGTGTAGCTTCTCAACAAATAGATCTTCTTGTACTGAGACCCTATTGTAACTCTTGCTCCCTCAGAGACAGGTGTAAATGCCCCTCTTGGTGGTGCCGAGTCAGTGTGAAAGCTCCCGTGGTGGTGATGATGGTGGTGGTGGTGTCACAGAATAGAACGGTGAGCTCGCACACAGGTGCACAGCGACACAAATGGGTGCCGGTGTGGTTTGGCGAGAAAAGGACAGGTTTTTCCCATCAATAGTGTGAGACCAGTTAAAAGTGTATGCTGGGCCTGGCCGGGTGGCTCAGTGGCTGGAACATCATCCCATACACCCAGAGTTGGTGGGTTCGATCCCCAGTCAGGGCACATGTCCAGGTTGTGGGTTTGATCCCGTTGGGGCGCGGATGGGAAGTGACCAGTTGATGTTTCTCTCCTTCCTTCCTCTCTCTCTAAAATCAATAAAAACATATCCTCGGGTGAGGATTTTAAAAAAATCCTTAATGGAAAAGACTCATCACCCATACCTCAATCCTTTCACAAACGTTAATTCAGGATGAATCCTAGACCTCAACGTGAAGGGGAACACCAAAAAGCTTATGAGGAGTCAGAAGGACAAGGCTGTTACCTTGGGTTAGCTGCAGACTTTTAAAACAAAATGGGAGAATTGTAACGGAGAAGCACCACCCGTGAGAGAAAAACCTATGAGAAGGTAGTTGCATTGCGGAAGCTGACAGGCCTCAGAGCCATAGCGGGTAAGGACTCCTGCCCGACAGCCAGGCAGAGACGGCCCGGCTTACGGGGAGAGCGGCCGGAAGGCGAGCGGGCAGGCGGCACAGGCCAGGCAGGGCCGGTGACGGCGGGAGAGCCGGCTGCAGCAGCACCGGAGGTGCAGCGGCACCAGTGGGCCCAGAGGGAAACGGGGTGCCGGTGGGGCCCAGAGTGGCCTCAACGTGCCACGTCCTGGCACCTGCCCCGGGAGCCAGCAGGCCCACCCCCAGGTATGTGCCCATCAGAGGGCGTGCCCCGCGCGGTGCCTTCTGGCCAGGGCGAGCAGTCTTCCTGCGGGAGTTAGGTTCCCCGTGCCCTGTGTGTGTGGGAGTGCCGGCACTAGCGCCGTGCCACGGCAAACGTAGGGATTTTAGGATGAACAACTTCCCCAGGGCTTGAGCCGACATGGGAGGATCAGATGTGATGTAACGCATGAGGCTTTCACACAGGGAACGTCTCCTTGTCCAGGTGTTTGGGTGGAAGTCAGGCTGTTTTAAAATGACACAGAATGAAATGCTTGCAATTGTGTCCATGTGGCTTTCAGTTCTGTGCTTCCCGGTGTCGTGTCTAAAGCTAGAGCTGAGCGTAGCGGTTTGTGCGCGGTGAGCGTGCGGCGGCCCTGTCTGCCCTCGCCGGTGCCCTCGCCGGCTCGGTCTGCACTTCGGCCCCTCACCCAGCGGCCAGGACGCGGCTGTGGGCAGAGCAGGTGTGGCCCGGCCTGGGCTGTGCTGTGAGCGGCATTATTGAGATGTGTGTGTTTCCTTACAAAGCTGCTTATTTGCCAGTTTCTCTCTTTGCCTCTGCTTTATTAAAAAGCCTGGTGCCTCTCGGCTGTGTTCACTTTTTCGTATTGTCTCTTCAAATACCATTCCACAGGATCTGTATTTTGTAAGACATTGAGAGCCGGGTCGCCGGAGCCTGGCACAGAGAGACAAGTTCCGGGCGACCCTGACTAATGTCAGTGTTTTTGCCTAAAATGACATTGGCCAGATTTAGCCATGCCAGCCAGGGCCTGGGCAAAACCACGGCGTCCAGACCCTTCCAGCACATTAAGTAACTCTTAGCTGCTGTGCTCTGAGATCCTCCTTCTCTGCGGGGAGTGCCGTGTTCCCTGCAGGCTTTTTAAGACAGCAGAAACCTTGTGCTGGCGGGGATGGGCCGCACGTCTCTGAGCCCCGGGACCCGCAGCGTTCCCAGCGCGGGGCCGGGAACTGCGTTTGGCCTGCCCTTCACATCTCCC